AACAACTAAGCACCTCCAACCCTCCTTTTCTTAGGAAAAGGTGCTAGGTTTCACACTGGAAATTGTGCAACTCACTGCTTAAAAAAAAAAGAAAAAAAAAAACTAATAGTATTTTGTAGGCAATCTGATTGATCCACTTGGTGATGTGCAGCTCACGATGGAGACACTGAAGTTGGCATCAGCTGCCTGAAATAGGAGACGGAACACAGGAACACAAAGCTGCACCGATTTCCTAACAATAGTGTTAGCATAAGAACACAAAATGCTGATGGAAGACGCTTCTCCACTGGTACTTCTTCTCATATCACCACTTATTAATAAGCTAACAATCTCAACAAGACCTTTTAAAGAATGGGAGGCTGCAAAATCATAAATGGCAGGGAAGACACTGCAGTCAGGCTGCTACATAACACATTTGTTGGACAAGGACAAGAGCAGTTATGTAGCTTTTTTTTTTTTTCTGAAAATGCTGATGGCTGATTTGTGTGATTACAGGAATCAAGTCAAAACCACACACAAAATTCACTAATACTGATCTGTAGATAACAAGAACCTAATTTTTATAGCAACTAATAGCAAGATATAGCAAGAGCAAGTTTTTACTAGTGAAAAAAAAACACATCTCCACATGCATAAGGAGTATGCAATAATGATCTGAGGAATTTTTCAGCAAATTTCTGAAAAATAAACTAAAATAAAAAATGGGCCAAGACATGTTTAATCCTCCATCAACCCTGTATCTGTGTAGCCTTGCAACTGCAGGTAGGTTGACTACCCTCATAATTGAAAAAAAGATGTAATGGAACTAGTTTAGATTAACACCATTGCAACCACATGATTTCATTGCTCCTCTTCCCACATTGTATTTAAAATGTCTTTACTGGAAATACCACTTTCTGCCCCTACCTACAGCAGTGGTAGCAGCCTGCTTATTTTGTTTAGCTGAGATTTACCTTCGTGTGAGCTTTGCTCTTCACTTCCCATCTTCGTGTGATCTTCTGAATCCTTATAAAACATTATACATGAAAGGGGTGACCTGCTTAAGCACAGGCTCTATTCTAAACCATGATCCCACGCACATTCCACACAGGAATACTGCACAATGGGATCTTCTTCTATCTCTATAGAGTACTTGGCTTTTTAGCTACAGTTTTACATCAGAAACCTGTAGGCTGTTGATAACTGTTTCCATTTCACTGCAGTCAGTTTCCTAGTCTAGAAGCATAGCTTGTTTTCCTACATCTACTGGTCGCTTAATTATTTTTTAATTTAGTAGTTAATTATACCATCAGCACCTACAGACTGCTAGTAGGAAGCCTGTGCTCAGGAAGTGGTATCTTGGGGATGGCTGAGACACCCACTTGCCACACATGGACTAAACTGTTGTTTTAGGCTTCTAAACCCCTAATTTTTCGTATTCTTGAAAAACACAACACATAAGAAGCTCCCGATTCGGTTGTTTAAGTGGAGAACCACAACTGCCTTCTTACTCATGATGATATTTGCTTGGAATAGAACAAAGTTGAAAACAGAGTTCAGTTTCCATCATAGACCTGCCAGAACAGATGTTCTTGCATGTAAACAGCAAGAGGGCAGTTGTTGCTGTACCCTTTGCAGTGTCCCCATGGATTCTGAAGCAGTACAAAAGGCCTACGCTGACTCCTGCTGCTATTGAAACCAAAATCTGATTTCTCACATGAGCAGCTGTGCAAGAGCTGTGCAAACATTCTCCAAAACAAGTCTCCCAAGACTGCAAATAATAAGTGCCCTGGAGGTAACTGTTGCTCCTATACTTTACAAAGAAAGGCACAAATAAATTGTTCTCAGGGAGGTGACCCTTGAAGAGGGGGAATCCCCTTACACATAAGGATTCTGAAGGCTTTTCTTTTTTTTTTTTTTTCTCCTGCAGGAGGTAGATTTAAGCACAGGGACTTTACCTAGCAGGTTGTATCACTGACACTGAACTGCCTTTGCATGCACATCCAACCCCATGTAGTAACTTTGCTAAATACCAGTCATTCTGGTGCAGGGAAGGCAGCTTGGCAATGTTTACCCCTCTTAGATCAGAAAGGAGTTATAACTCATGCTGAAAACACGGCTAGCCTGTGAGCTGCTGACTTCCGAGGTGAACTGTCCTCCCTCCACTAACACAGAGAAAAGAAAGGCCCTCTTTCTTGGGCTCCTATCTGCTCCATAAAGCTGACTGGTGGAAAGAGCCAGCAGCAGCCAAACTGTCCAGGTATTTAGAGCAGTTTGAACAAGTTAAAGGTCTGCTGTGTCCTGGGATTGGTTTGGATGGCGTGCTTGGAAGACTATTGAAAGATCTATTATTCGTCTCCCTGCTTGCAATATACCAGGCAACAACTGCCTCATTCACAACAGCAGCTCCAGGGGACCAAGCCACAAACAAGAAAGCTGCATTTTTGGGAAGGGTCAGAAGTTCTAGAATAAGCTAGGCTGTACAAAAGGCAGATACTCAAGCAAGCAAAATTAACCAAGTGGGTTGGAATGCAGTTCTAGCTAAACAAATTGAGCATAAAATGGAAACTTTGACAGCAAACTGTTGAAAGGGAATCACACGACACTTGTCAGCCCTAATTGATACCATCAGGCTTCCTTCACTAAAAATAATCTCTTTCAAAATTAAAAGCAGAAATGTCTAGTATGTTACTTCAAAGCAGTGAAAGAGGCAACAGGGAAGTGTTTCTTCTTAGATGGCAAATTCTGTCGTAACTAATTCTGCAGTCTTGAGGGTCTCTGCTGTGTAGCTGCGAAACAAATGTAAATAGTTGGAGTAAGTACAGCCTCACACAAGTAACAGTCTGACTGAAGCAAAAGTCCCATTGTCCAATAAATAAGAGCAGCTGAAGTGCCTCCAGAAAGAGCAGCTTTGTTCTGAACATTAGCTTCGAAGTTCTCTCCACATATTGCACTAGAAGAGTCCTTTGATCTATTCTGACCTTCGCATAGTGCAGGCCACAGGAGAGCTCAAAACCTGTTTGTGTTCTTGAAACTGGAGTTATTTTTGGAAAAATAACCAGTCCACTCATCTGTGGAGCATTTTAAGCAGCACCGGTGTTAATTACCTTTACCCTCTCTGTTAAAATGGGCATCTTTTTCAATATTTAAGTTTACCTATCACTAACTGGTATTATCTTTGCCTACTAGATTTAAGAATTTGAGAACTTCTGCTACACAGTAGGTATCTCTGGACCAACCATAGTCCACTTCACTATCCAGCAGGCCAAACTCACTGAACATCCTTCTACCTTTTGGCAGTTCCTCTGATTCTCTCCAATATTTCAATATTCCCCCTGGACTGTTGACAACATATCTTTCAACCACATCCACAGAGGACCATAATAGAGGTAAAATGGCTTTCATACATTTCCTCCCTCCATGTTCATGCACGTACGGAATCTCCATCTTTACAGTATTAGAGCAAGCATCGCTAAAGGTACTCTGCGTCTGTAAAAACAAAACAAAACACCCACCTTCATCCACAGCCCCTGACAAAACAGGGGCACAGATCCCTACAGAAGTGAGAAAGCCTTCAATGGAAATTGTCCCAGGCTTCATGAATTCCACCGAAATTAAGACATTGTGTCTCTTCTGAAGAGCTTTCTGTGCATTTATCAAACTTGGCTGGCATGATGGCTATATACTAACACTCACCGTCCTACAAATGCCCAAGGTCCCACAAGGAAACAACTTTTGCTACTTTCTGCTTTTCCATTTAAAATATTGCTAACATGTTAAAAAAAAAAAAAAAAAAAAAAAGATTCCAACTAAACAGACTCTCATCCTTAAGACTTAAACTAAGAGCGTTAGCAATCAGTTAGTCCATTTGAAGTGGTTAGTTCTGTCTTCAGGATCAGTGATTAGGTTTTAATTGAACACTACTTTACTGAAAATGTAGAAAACAAACATACAAAAAACTCAGCACTTAGGGTCTCTTCTACAAATTAAGACACTTGATTAATTGTTGGGTGGAACAAAAATGAAGACTTGTAGGAACCAGACTGGGCGGGTAAGCACAATAAGAACTTCTATATATTTTATTTCAAGTTTACCTTGTTAATGCTAGGACCTCCAACCGGGAAATAATATTTACTACTTAGCTTTAACTGATTTAAGATTTTTCACTCCATGTGAACACAACATGCTGAACGACTTCCAATTACATTCTCACTAAAACAAAATAAAGCTGTTCAGACTGGGCTCGTATACTGCTGGCACAATTCTAGCATTCAGCAATAACGGAATTCAAGAAATGCCTTATGAAAATGTTTCAATTCCAAGAACTTCTGGTATTTCACTGGGGAAGTTATTCATACCTTTGAAGAAAACACAGCCCCTGCAATCAAGTTGTATTTCTGTTTTTATTTAAATAACTTCCAAAAAATACTTAGAGCAATATTTACACATTAAATTTGATAATTCCTCAAATAGTCGTGATTAATAAAAAACAAATTCTTCTAACAAATATCAGATGTTCTTACTGTGAAGCGTTAATACTTCTGGAAAAGCGATTTAAGTATTTGGCGTTAATCAGTGTCTCCAAACCCACAAGAGAACACTGTTCCTATAATATAATACTCCTCTATCTCCCCCCGGCCACAGTAACGTTTTCCAAATTTGTACTGATTTCTAGGTATTGAAACCTATTAGTAATGGAAGAAAGGACACTTTTGAAATATGCCAAATGGGACTGTCAATTCTAATATTAAAGACAAGCTTTGGGAATGAGTTTCATTCTAGTGGTAACAACATGTCTTCAGAAAACTGAAAAACGATAACACTAGAAAAAAATCCACTTTCTCTCTACGACAGTATCTAAACAGCAAGCTTTTCCAGAAAAAAAAAATCAACTTTGTATTTTTAAAGTCTCATGGAACTAATGTATAAAAAACTTAAGATTCAAACCTTTTGTCTCTTCTTCCACAAAACTGCTACTCTTTCTGTGCTGCTTTTCCCAATCAGCCATGTCATTGGAATTAAGACAATCTATTATTTTTCCACTTCCTTATTAGAACATATACGATCAGCATTATCAGGTAAATGTACCCCCATGCTCTGTAAAATGTTAGAAGCAGGTCCTGCCAGTCCAGCCTGAGCACTATAGGATTCAAGCAGGTTATCCACAAGGTTCATATCCACATCAACGGGTGTCAGCTCAGTATCTTCAGCCTCAGAATCGTGGCCAGCATTTTGAGACATGGTTGCCTTAGCAGAACTCACCTGGCATAAACACAAAGAGTAAGTTTTATCACGACAAGTCGAATAGGAGGGTAAAACAGGACAAACCACAACATTAAAAAAAACAACAAAAAAAACCCACACAATTAAACAGTTCTGCAGCCAAAGTTCAGTACATTGCACACTGATTACAGAACTACATTAACTTTTTTATTTTTTTGAAAAAAAAAGTGCAATTCCAGCATGTTTTACTTGCACATGGGATTTTTTTTTAAAAGAATAATTAATTAGCATAAGATCAGAGGACCGAAGTTGTGAATCCTGTCACTCAGAACAACCACTTGAGCATATTTCCTCTTTCCTAATAAAACTCTTAGAAAATGATTCTGCTGCAAGCTACAACTCAAAAGATACTTTACTTACTGCTTTCTTTTGGGTGGTGAAACTTCTGCCAACACTGGTGTGTGCCAGTTCACGGTCCATCTCCTTCATAATTGACCTGAGACTGCCCGTATCTTTATTAGGCGCCTTCTGTGCTTGACTTTGATTTTCAACATCTAAGTCTTCATCATCCTCATCTGAGAACTCGAGCTCCTCCTCTTCATCCAAATCATCAGAATCAAGTTCTTCTGAGTCTTCTCCCCCTATATATAGGGCAAAGAAATCAGTGCAGTACCAAACGATAATCAGAAAGCCAAGAGAAGCCAACTAACTGAGTCCATCTCACCTAAAATTCTGTCTAACGCATTTGTGAAAGACTCAACATCAAAGGTAACATGAGCTTCATCAGATGACCTGAAATATAAAAATAATGTTTAATAAATATTTATTTTATGTTTGCATAAGGCTGACACAGGCCAAAGAAGCAAGTGGCATATTGATTTCCTCAAGCTACAAAACCCTACAGCATATTTCAAACATGAACACAAGCACCTTAAGAGAATCAGATCAAGAGTATAAATTGAGTAGATCCCTATTTATTTTAAATAGCTCACACAGCAGAACGTGGACAATATGCTACTACATAACTCTTCGGTTTTTAAAATTGAGGGCCTGCTCACTCACCATTCACAAACCCCTTTTCAACTCCAGCAACTAACTTAGTTGCAGTTTGATTTTGCCTGGATAATCAAGTACCTTCAGATAGCACTTTCCCTCCACTGTCAGGACTAATGACAGAATTCCAGAGTGATTTGTTTTTCTGCTTCCCTGTGTACAGTGTGTGCTTCAGTGATAAGAAAAACAGGCATAATATATTCAAAGTATTTATCTATAAATATTTTCATATTTTATTTATATTTCTACGTACATTTATCTATTCAAAATATATACATACAAGAGATCTAAATGCAACTGTATCATAAAAATCACCAGTCTTAATTTGAGAGTGTCTGGCTCCATTAAGTTAAGTTACATTTTTATTTGCCTACAGCCTCACTAGAGGCATTTTAGCTGCCTCAGTACATAGTCCTTCATGGAAAGGAAAATATTCAGCACTAAATACATACTTTTGTTTCAGGACTCTGCTTAAAAGAACTCTTGGAAATTCTGATATTCAGCATTACAGAGGTGCCAAAATGGCAGCAACAGAATGAAAACATAATCCATATCAACCAACACACTTAAAAATAACCTTACCATGGCATTTCTGCCCCTTCGTGCGTTGAGACTTTTGATACAAAAGCCTTCATGCTTTCAACAACTGTTTCCAAGTCATACTTCTGCTCTTCCTCGTTTGAGGAAGCATGGGACTGATTTGTTGTCTCCTTCAACATCTGGTCTAGCTCATCTGGTGAAATCTCCAGCCAGCTGTCATCTAAAAGCGCATAGGACATACTTGTTAATTGTGCACAAGTCTGTCAGCCTGCAAGACCCAATTTAGAAGATTCCAAATATTGTTAGCGTTCTGCAACTCGCTTCTTTTGAAATTCTTAGTTTTTCATGCTCAGAGTCCATACTGTTTTACTGCTTCAAAAAACTGCTTTATATACATCTTCAAAATAGGTGAATGTGAATATTTCCCTTCCCTCCCAGCAAATAATCATTTGCTGCAGAGTCTACCCTTGCTCACCATCCTCTGCAGGAAGACAAGCTGCTTCTTTCTCAAACTCCTTCAAATCAAAGGTTGTTGTCTGCAACAGTGTCAAAATTTCATCACCTGGGCTCAATTCAGAGCTATAAATAATAAAAAATAATAATAATAAAAAAGCAAAGCCAGCTTACTGATTTTTTTTTTAACTAGCATCACAATGCCAAAGGCATTGCACACTCCACATGCATGTTTTGGCTCAAAGTCTTATTATTTCTGCTGTGCAAAAACACATCAAAAAGATAAGCAAAGTTTGGGGAAGTAAAAGCATGCTATGTAGATAGTATTAGCCAAAACAAGGCATAGTTAGTTATTGTATTCCTTGCTGATAGCTACAAAGCACATTTCTCATTTGCTTCCTTTGTTTTTGAAATTTATTTTGTCCTGATTAACATTAGAATGGCCAGATTCCAAACAGCACAACTGGCTTCAAGCAACTAACAGTCCAGATATTACAAGCTGGCAAAGACTCGGATATTTTCACACTGATTTATTTTTTTGGATTTGATCTTTTGGACAAATCTACAGCCAGCTGTCTGCCTTGAGCAACAGAGATGGATTTACTCTGTATTTATCATTCACTGGGACTGCTTTTCAATGAAATTTTTAAACAATTCTAGTAGCCAACCAGCCAAATGAATAATGCTTTTATGTTACCTCTTAAACCACTTGGAATACCTTAATATTTTACAGAACCAAGATAAACAGTTACTCAAGCAATAACTTCTACTGGTAGAGAATACTCTAGAGGAATTATTAGTTGTCTGCCCTAGCCAAGCACCAATGTTAAACATACAACGGAAAAAAAGCTTTTCCATTTAAAGCAGAAGAAAAGCAAAAAGTGTTAGAAAAAGTTTTTATAGGCATTGTGTATAATTAACAATGAATTTAAAGTAGCTTTTACCTTTCTGGCTTGGTAACAGAATGCTGGAAGTAATCTTCTGCCTTATGCAGCAGTTCCTTGTACTTAGCAGATCCTTCCATTTCTCCCTGTTTGATACAAGTCACAAGAATGAATCTGCATCATGCTGCCTTTTCACAATCAGGACTCATAATGACAGCTATTAGTTACGAAGAAATTTAGCACTGTGAAAATCAAAATAATTCACGTGGAAAGCACCTTAGGCCTGTTCCTTATATTATACTCCAAGTTAGATACAAATTAGAGACAGAGACTGCAGCATCATTTGGTTCACACTAAAAATAAGGAAAGACAACACTGATCTCACAACAGCAGGGTTTTAAGGAGCTGATGGAAAGGTTACCATGCACTGGATTTATGAATGAATCCTTTGCATTTTGTCTTTATCTCCAGAAGTCACATTGCAGTACTATAAAAAGAATCCGTTTTCCCCATATCTACAAGATGTTAACCTAGCCACACTACAGACTTCAACTTCAGTAGTCAAATGCATGCTCCCCACTATGACCTAACACCCCCTTTCCCAAAATCTTACATGAGCTCAAGTGAACCACCTGCTGTTCAACACAGAAATTTAAGAATATTTCCTCAAATCACAGAATGGTTAAGGTTGGAAGGGACCTCTAGAGATCATCTAGTCCAATCCCCCTGCTCCAGCAGGGACACCCAGGCCACGGGGCACTGGATGGTGTCCAGGTGGGTTTGAAGAACTCCGGAGGAGCCTCCACAGCCTCTCTGGACAGCCTGTTCCAGGGCTCTGTCACCCTCACAGGGAAGAAGTTCTTCCTCATATGGAGATTAAACTTCATATGTTTCAGCTTGTAGCTGTTACCCCTCGTCCTGTCACTGGCCACCACAGAAAAGAGCCTGGCCCCATCCTCCCTACATTCACCCCTCAGGTACTTAAACATGTTGATCAAATCTCCTCTCAGTCTTCTCTTCTCCAGACTAACCAGGCCCAGCTCACTCAGTCTTTCCTCACACGACATACGCTCCAGTCCCTTCATCGTCTTCGTGGCTCTACGCTGGGCCCTCTCTAGAAGCTCCATGTCCCTCTTGTCCTGGGGAGCCCAGAGCTGCCCCCAATACTCCAATACTGAGCAGAGAGGCAGGATCCCCTTCCTCGCCCTGCTGGCAACGCTCCTCCTGATGCAGCCAGGAGCCCATTGGCCTTCTTGGACCAAGGACCCTTGCCCACAGGATTCCTCCAAGGAGCTCCCTGAAGAGGTCAAAGTTAGCTCTCCAAGTCCACGGTTGCAATCCTACTTCTTGTCCAGCTTCCTCCTCAAGGATCGTGAATTCTAACATCTTATGGCCACTGCAGCCAAGACTGCCCCCAACCCTCACATTTCCCACAAGACCATCTCTGTTAGTGTCAGTGTCCCTCCCCTTGCTGGCTTATCAACCAACTGCATCAAGAAGTTATCACAGAATCATAGAATGCTTAGGGTTGGAAGGGACCTCTAGAGATCATCTAGTCCAACCCCCCTGCACACGCAGGGACACCTAGAGCACATGGCACAGGACTGCATCCAAGCGGGTTTTGAAGATCTCCAGAGAAGGAGACTCCACAACCTCTCTGGGCAGCCTGTTCCAGGGCTCTGTCACCCTCACTGTTAAGAAATTTTTCCTTAAGTTCATGTGGAACTTTTGGTGCTTCAGTTTGTGGCCATTACCTCTAGTTCTGTCAGTGGCCACCAGGGGAAAGAGGCCAGCACCATCCTCCTCACTGCCTCCCTTGAGGTACTTATAGACACTGATTAGATCCCCTCTCAGCCTTCTCTTCTCCAGGCTGAACAGGCCCAGCTCCCTCAGCCTCTCCTCATAGGGCAGATGTTCCAGGCCCCTGATCATCCTTGTAGCCCTGCGCTGGACTCTCTCCACATCCCTCTTATACTGTGGAGCCCAGAACTGGACACAATACTCCAGATGCGGCCTCACCAGGGCTGAGTAGAGGGGCAGAATCACTTCCCTCGACCTGCTGGAGATGCTCTTCTTAATGTACCACAGGATCCCATTGGCCCTCTTGGCCACGAGGTCACACTGCTGCCTCATGGTCAACTTGTC